TCCGTTAAATACGTGGATATGTGGATATGTTAGCTTTAAAATTTCGGGTGAAATGTGACCACGAGTTTTATCGGACACCGATACTCGTTTCGTCTCGGCTACTCGACACTCTCCTTCGTGCCAAATTTGTTGCAAAACGCACGATCGTTTTATCGTACGCTAAATAATATTTTGATAGAAAATAAAAACGAGCGAATATAATATACGAGAAATCTCGAGTCGGGCGAAAATCGAGATTAAGAATCGTTTTTTGTTTCTTGAATAAATCAAAATCTCAAATAATGGATGGTTTCGAGAATACAAAAGCTTTGGTCGTTTGGACGAAACCACTGGTTCTCCTTCCATTGGTTCCAGCGGATCCTTATGCGGCCGTTACTACGTGCCTGGCATTCCATATTACCCGCGATCGCTTAATTGATCGTTAACTCAGAACTCCTGCTATAATGAATGAGAATACGGGATAAACTGACCGAGAAATTTCGATTCTCCAAGAACTTGTCCATCTCTTGAATATTTCATCAAAATAATCAAGATTCATCGAGATTTCGTTCTTCGAAGATCGATCGAATAATACCGAGAATTCTGTTCGAGATCGTAATCATTTGATTATGATAGAAACTTTATATAACACGTGACATGTTCCGGCAAAATTATATCGATCGATCGATACATCGATAAATTGCACGAAAATGTTATTTTTCGTTTTTACGTTGAAGTTAAAAGTCCGATTCGAGGATAAACAAGAGTTACGAGAATCGATAGGAATAAAGCACAGAGCATCTGGAAGCAGGCCAATTTTTCGAATAATTCGAGCAATTTCGACTCCGCACAGGGAGTAACGACGACGTAACGGAGCCGAATGAGCGTGCGACCGGTTGCAAGTGACGAGCCAACGTAAATATTTATTTTTGTTTCTATCGGATTCCGATTTTTTATTCGCATTACGCAGAACTTTTTACGCGTTTACCGATAAACCTCTCGCATTTTTCACGGTGGTCATTTAAAAACGAAGATTTGTAATTTCTATTCCGATTGAAGATCACCGATCGTTCCACAATCATGATTTATAAACGATTTGATTGACCAATCAAAAGAATTGATTATCGGATCTTCAGATTTCGACTCTGATATATGCATGCAAAAAGTCACGTTATATTTCATTTAGACAATATGGATGAAGCAATGGTAATCTAACCTAAATGTTAAAGTAAGAAAAGACTTACAGTTCTGCGATCTTCACTTTCCAGCAATATTTCCTTCCATTCTTTATAGATTATTTCAGAAGATTATTTCACAAACAAAGTATTAATTTACAAACAAACGAATTTCGATTAAAATTAAAAGTTTTTTCTAGAAACAAACGTTAACGAAATGACACGACACGACGCCACACACGATTTCTTGACCACATATTTGAATCTCTGCGCACAAATTGATGCGCAATATCGCGAACTAATAGAGTTTGACTCTTCATTCTGTTTTCTTCTCGTTCGATTTCAATTATCAAAATATTGTTCAGTATTGTCAAAAATAAAAACATATCTCACACATCACATAAATACGTATGAAAACATTTCTTAAATATTAATTTAACCTTTTAACGTGATCAATCAAAACAGTTCTGCGAGCTTCGAATATTTTCTTCACAAATATTTATACCGAAAGTATCTTTACAATTAATTTCACGATCGTATTTCACAAACAAATGAATTAATTCCGATTAAAGTTAATGTTTTAAAAATTGAGATGTCAACGTGATGAATTCGATGTATTTAGATCACTGCGCAACAACTTACGCGCAGTACGTTGCAATATAAGTAATATGGCGAACTAATGGTGTTTGATCTTTCGTTCTGCATTTTCCTTTTTCCACTTTCCGTGTCAAGAACGTGTTATCAAGAATAAAAACATCAGAAACAACTCGCACGGTACATAAATATGTAAGTAAACACTTTTTAAATAAAAATTTATTTTTTTTAGTCGAACACTTCCATATATTTCTTGTATTGTGAATGTTTCTCGAATGATTTAAGGAAATATATTTCGAAATAATATCGATCGCTAAAATTATTAATATTTCAAATTCAAATCACGGTGTCATATGTATCATAAAAATAGATTTACGTATCATAAATTAATCTTTAATGATCATGTGTAACGTATGAAATTTCATTTCATTGCTAACCTACAAACGCGAATCAAGAGAGTAACAGTTGCAATTGAACGTTTGATGAGCATTGAAGTGAACACGTAACGAAACGAATATTAGTTGTTCCTCGGGGAATCTGTAAACAGCTAACGATCAATGCTAACATTTCCCATTGGAGATATCTGTTGCATTAAAAGTCATTCGAATCTATATTTTTACTGCTATTTGTCATATTAGCTTTTAATTATTAAGATAATTTCGAAATCATGGAAAATATCATAGGGAATAATTTATTCATATATAGATACACGATAAATATTAACGAGTATAATAAAATAATGACAAATAATATATCATATATCAACATATATTAACATTATATTAAAAAAATAATTTTTAATTCAATGTTCAATGTAAAATTTTCTATAATATCCAGTACTACTACGAGCTACCAGTGACCCCATAAAACAATCGATTTAATTGTTCCCAAAGACATTCGGTCGACAAGGAACATTAAGTACATTTACAAAGAAAATGGACAATCTCGAACGATTTCACGATAATGCGTTCCTATAATTTTTTCTCCAGAAGAAAATAGCTCGAACGTAATAGCGATAATAAAATAGCGAAATGCATAAAGAAAAGTCTTCGTATAAAATTTATCTCCCCGTTTATCTTTTCGTGTGCAAATTAATTATTTATCCCTCACAAATACAAAGAGGCCGTAACACGACGATATTAGAATGGATAAAAAGATAAAACAGACTTCAACGTTGTTCGTTTCGCAGGCGTATATTTTACGGGCGTGGATGGGTCAGAAATAGGTTTTAGACGTTCCTGCGGGATCGTGTAACAAGACTGGTTCCATAAAACGATCGATGTAATCGGTCCCGAGGGATGGGGGAAGTTAAAGCGGCTAAGGGCGCGGTGCACCCTGCGAAAGAGCGAGCTAAGCCAAAAGATTCGCCGCGATGGAGAATAGGCACCATAGCTTTTCATGACTGCGCCCACCACTCCCCGGATGCCACTTTCCTTGAAATATCGCCGTGACTAGACGTAAATTCGTCTATCATAAATAACAATCGTGAGAATTCCTAGGGCGTCATAGACCGTTGCACTTAGTCTCCTCTTTCATCCTCCTCCTCCTATCTTCCTTTTTCCTGTGATACGCCTCGTAATAACCTTCCTATAGTTACGAACTATCGTGAAAAATTTTCGAACGATATTTCGTTCGGAAATATGTTTTAATGGTATTACTAACGTTCGATAACATGAACATGGCGTGTGCTTGTCAAATAATAAACGATACATGGCGCAGGATAATTGCGTAACTGTGTTCCATTAAAGTTTCCTATTATTAAATATAATTGCAATTTTTTGAACACAACTCAATTTCAATACAATACAACGTCAATTTTTTTTTTTATATAGTTTTTAAAAACTATAGTATTATTATTATTTTTTTTTTTTTTTGTAATAACAACAAAAATTCAATTTTTAATAGATCGCTTCTGTCACAAAGTGAGTTATAATCAAACACGATACTTTTTTTTTAAATTTTTATTCCATCAAGTTCGGTACAAGAGAACCGATATTGACGAATTTTGGGAATTGCCAGAAATTTTTTTTTTATNATAATTTTTTAGAAACTATAGTATTATTATTATTTTTTTTTTTTGTATAACAGAACAGAAATTCAATTTTTAATAGATCGCTTCTCTCGCAAAGTGAGTTATAATCAAACACGATACTTTTTTTTTAAATTTTTATTACATCAAGGGTTAGTTCTGGTACTTTTACCTAAGTTCAGTACAAGAGAACCGATATTGACGAATTTTGCGGAATTGCCAGAAATTTTTTTTTTATATAATTTTTTAGTAACTATAGTATTATTTTTTTTTTTTTTTTTTGTATAACAGAACAGAAATTCAATTTTTAATAGATCGCTTCTCTCGCAAAGTGAGTTATAATCAAACACGATACTTTTTTTTTTAAATTTTTATTCCATCAAGCGTTAGTTCTGGTACTTTTACCTAAGTTCGGTACAAGAGAACCGATATTGACGAATTTTGGGAATTGCCAGAAATTTTTTTTTTATATAATTTTTTAGTAACTATAGTATTATTTTTTTTTTTTTTTGTATAACAGAACAGAAATTCAATTTTTAATAGATCGCTTCTCTCGCAAAGTGAATTATAATCAAACACGATACTTTTTTTTTAAATTTTTATTCCAACAAGCGTTAGTTCTGGTACTTTTACCTAAGTTCGGTACAAGAGAACCGATATTGACGAACTTTGCGGAATTGCCAGAAATCGATTAGCGATGTGAGGCGACACATCAATCATAGAAGCAAGTCACGATATGCATGTCAAGAAAATGAAAGGCTACGCCTGTAATGAATACGGTTTAATGAAAGTAGCATGCTGATGCATGAAATATAATAAAATAGTAATAAATTTCTTATAAAGTTTTCGTTATCGTTCCACATTTAATATCGTATTTTGTTGGCAGTTCTTTCCATACATTTTTTGTTTACTCACCTGGATTCCATATAATCGTGGTTATAAATCAATTAAAAATTTATATAAGCAAAGCATTTATCAACTTCTTACGAAGCGTTTAACCCAATTAAACCACCCTCCTCTCTGATATATATTTTTAAATTATAAAAATTATAAAAATACGTTAAAATCGCGCATTGAATTTTTCGAAAATACGAGATTTCTTTTTCTCTCTTTTTGTCCGATTCATAATCCGATTCAATGTTTAATGATCAATAAAGAGAGTAATTTATGTAACAATTTATAATGAAGCTTTGAATACATTCGTTTGATGAGATGACAAAAAAAAAAAAATGCAAATCTTCAATTTCTACTCGAAATTGAGAAAAGAAGGTAACATAATTCAACGTAAAAAAAAAATAAATCGCTTATAAAATTCACTTACAGTCATATACTCTCCCCGACCAGAATATTTCACTCTTTTTTTTCTAATAAATTTGGAAAAATATCTTAACGTCTCGTGATACCGATCAAAAAGAATCGTTGGTGAAAAAAAGTTAATATATCCCGTTATATTTCCGCGAAGGAAGTTCCGACCGATTCATCTTACGACTTACGACTCGTATAATCTCCTATCCTGCATCATTTCTTGCTCCCTGAAAGGAAATTCATAAATTTCAACTCGTTCGTTTCGCCCCTATAAATCTGGTAACCACAGATTTCTCTTGTTCGATTAAAAATTGATCGAGAAATTTTTTGTGAGGTCTAACAAATTTTAGACCTGCAATTATTATTATTATTAAATATTATTAAATTAATATATATATTATATTCGTTTGATGAGGCAACGAATAATAAAAAAAAAAGGCAAATCTTCAATTTTTATTATTATTATTATATGCATTCAATAAATTTGATAAATTTTCAAACTTTTCTTGTATGCGCATAGATTATCTCGATCGTTATACGATGAATATAGGTACAATAGAAATAGATTTAGAATAGACTATCCATCATCTAAAAATTTCAATCTATCAAACTTTCAATCCCCTCTATCGAGCCAAATTTTCACTGCTTTCGCTTCGCTACACATATTTCCCCAATTCAAATGAAACCGTCCTATGTTTATCTTTATTCAAAAAAAAAAAAAAGAAAGAAAAGAAACATAAGAAAAAAAAATCGAGAAAAAAGAATTATAATAAATTAGATTCGTACGCCAAATTTTCCATATTTCCCCAATTCAAATGAAACTATCCTATGTTTATTTTTATTCAAAAAAAAAAAAAAAAAAAAAAAAAAAAAAAAAAAAA